GCAGGAAGAATTACTGACAAAATTCAAACCTTTGAAATGTGAGAACTAAAGCAATTCAGTATTTGCCATTTGCACTCACCTGAAAGTGGAGAGCAACAGCAGGTTTTGCCATTAAGTTATTAAAATGCTCATGAAATTGTGGAGAGAGAATATCCTGGGACAGGGTTTCATAGGGATCAAAGGCTTGCTCCTAAATAAAAACAGAGAATTATATACATACATGAAGGATGCTAGGTATTTCTGTCCCGCCTGGTACAATTAATTCCTTTAATAAGCCGACACATGAGTTGAACTTCTCAAGAAAAGATCGATTTTGCAAAACAAATATTCAGTAAACCACAACCCTTTTTCACTTCCAAATTTTAAATGCATGCAACATTTTTTTAGCACTCCTCAATCTCACCATACTTATCACTAACACAAACTTTGCCGTACTGAAGCAGCTGGGAACCAACCGAGAAAAGTTTTTGCTTTCAGTCCACCCACATTTCACGTAGAATGACAATTTGCCTCCTCTCTGTCAATAAAGAACGACGCTTCGGAAAGAAGCGCGGGTAAAGATGAACTTTGGAGACTGTCACAAGGAGGCATTGTTGTACCACCACCATTTCAGGGTAAATCACATAGGAATGGTCAGTCATCAGGCACTGGACTTCTGCACATTTTTCTGGCCATGCTGTAAGGCTGGGAAAATAATCCCACTCTGGGACAAAGCAGCTAGTCTGAAGGAGTCTCAGAGGAAAGTCCTCTAACGAGACCACAGGTTTCAGGCGCTAAAAATTAGGACTCTGGATGGAATATCTGGCTGTGATTCCGTAATATCAGCTACAGCAGGATGGGATGAAAACCTGACTGTACATGAATCTCTGCAGAAATAATTCATGACTGCTCGTAGATCACCTGCTCCAAAGCCTGTCAGCCCGTTCCCATGTCTCTGCAGATTCATTGGGCTGAATCGCTCATGAATCACCCGGTTATCCGGTGCTGATGGCACGGTGCCCCCGAATAAGCACATACCTTTTCACCTTAATGCAGAAGTGCTTGTCAGAATACAGGCTGCAGAATTTGGGGAGTACCAAGCACCACAAAGGCTCATTTGAACATTCCCGTAAAGTCTCAAGTCTTCCATTTGCAGAGGGTCCAGGGGATTTCCTACCTTACTCATAGGGCAGCTGCAATTAAACTCTTTGTGGGGAGGAGAGGCACAGAATGCACCATCTTTTCACAGGCAAATTGTAATCATCGCTCTCAGCCCTCCTCATCAAGTTCTAATCATCGCTGTCCATTCGCATTAGATTGTATCTGGGAGGGGGGATGAAAGGGGGGCAAGGTTTGGCACTTCAGCAGCAGCTGAAGAGAAATGATTAGACACTCTAACTGAACAGGTTGGTTTTCTTAAGCAGAATCTGAATCCAGTTTACAGCCTGGGTTTTTTTGTTTTGGGTTTTCTTTTCTTTGTTACTCCATGCCTGCCCAGTACCTGCATGCATACAACACGGGGATCTTATTTTACAACATCCAAATTATAGACAGGGGGAAACACCACTGTTTCTCTTTGCCATACTAGCCAAGAAAAAATAAACCTAAACCTCTGCGGAAGCAGCCAGCCAGCCATGGGGTGTGGGTTCAGCTGCATCCAGAGGCAGCTGGCAGGGACGGGGCCCCCGCCCCCCCCAGCGGCTCCGTCCTCTGCACCACCGGACACAAGCAGAGAGCAAGGCTGGAACCACTACTCAGAACGTAATCATTGAATCATTTAGGTTGGAAGAGACCTCTAAGATTATCGAGTCCAGCCATCTAGCCAAGCGGGACTTTGTTAGTCTAGAAGACGGTTGCTGCACTTTTTAAGTTTCTGGTTCCCGGTAATCCTGCATGCAATTCTACTGGGGGAGCCAGACCAACACATATTTATTCTGTGCTGTCTTTTTAAACTTTTTACTGCATTTTAGAATCACAGAATCATAGAATCCCAGGTTGGAAGGGACCTCAAGTTTCATCTGGTCCAACCTTTCTGGGCAAGAGCACATGTAAACAAGATGGCCCAGCACCCTGTCCAGCTGAGGCTTGAAAGTGTCCAATGTGGCAGAGACAACCACTCCCCTGGGGAGGTTATTCCAATGGTTGACTGTTCTCATGGGGAAAAGTTTCCCTCTCATGCCCAATCAGAATCTTCTCAGGATCAACTTGTGTCCATTACCCCTTGTCTTTTCCATGTGACTTCTTATTAAAAGGGCGTCTCCATCTTCCTTGTAACCACCTCTTAGGTACTGGTACATGGTGATGAGATCCCCTCTGAGCCTCCTGTGCTGAAGGCTGAATAAACCCAGCTCTCTCAGCCTAGAAGTGTGTTCAGTTTCTTCCACTCAGACTTTCATCAGCATTTCGAGTTTTTGGTTTTGTTTTTTGAACAAGAAGATTGAAACAAACTGCAATAGCTATCTTCCCCAAGAGACAAAGGAAAAAAAAAAAGGGGGGTTTTTATACTTGCAATGTTGCAAAAGTTACTGAAATGTGGAGACGTTAACTTGATGCCCGTATAAGTGATCTCGGTGCAGCATACAGTTCTGGACTGGTGTTGCTATGTTTCGGTCCCTTTTGCTGCAGTGCACTGGTTTCCACCTTTTTTTGCTTTGGGGATACCTGAAACTTCTCCTATGGAAATGCAAATACCAGCATAACAAATTTCCAATCTACTGCTATCACTTTACCAGCTGCCTTCTGCAGACCACTCCAAACCAGGCACAAAGACACCCTGCCCTCAGTTCCAAGGTTCTCCTGCCATTAGCTGAACATCACTAACAAGATAATCCAGGGGCAATCATTAAAACACACTGTAGCAATTAGAACTGTAAAAACTTACCAAGTCATTTTTTTTACCAGCGTACTAACAAACATCCACCTCCCACTCATGTGTCAGGCATCAGGTTTTTGAATTTCCTCCACACTAGGAAAAACTTTTATTTTCCCCATACTTCCTTATCTCAAAAACACTACAGTATTTATGTTTAAACCTCCCAGAGAACTGATGCAGAAAACCAGACAAAGCAGGAAGATTCCAGCTTGCAAGGGTTGTTTGTTTTTAATTATCCTCCCAAATAAGTTGAAGGACCTTTATAATGGAAACACTAAGCGAACAAGCCTGGCAGTAAGATAGGCAGAGCAAATAAACACTTCACTTCCATATCTCTTTAATGATCCCTTTTGCAAATACTCACAGAAAGATGATCTCAACACGCGAGATGATCAAACGAACAGCCTAGTTAAGTTGGTCTTGATCCGTATTAACTGAATTATTAAATTCAAACTTACTACCTGCATAAAAAGGAGGCTTGAAAAATAATCTGTTCTTCATCTCCTATTTCAGTTTTTCAGATCACGAAAATCAAGTGATATTTTCACTCATTGAAAAGGATTTGTCTCCCTTAAAGCACAGGATGCGCACAGAGTAGCTTTTGCAATAAACTGAGATATGTATGTTTGCCAGGACAGTGCTGTACTATTTCAAATTTTAAGGGTTTTTTGGTTTTTTTTTTTTCAATTTTAATATAATAGCTACTTACTTTAGTTCACTGTTCAAATGTTTCTCCTTATCATTATACAAGCAATTATGCTTTACCATCTTAAGAGCAAAGGCCTAGTCAACTGGACTTTCCTACTGATATGTCACGAGTGGCTTACTGAAGTAAGGCCAGCAAAACTTTATGATATATCCATATGGGAGCGGCACATGGACGGAAGGACCCGTATTCTTCACGCCCACAAAAATGTAACTGTTTTCCTAATGGTACTTGTGTGTTCATGCAGTCCTCAGATTTTAAAAACTGAGCATACATAAAAGTGAAATGGAAGTGTAATTTTCTTTATAAACATCGTGATTTGAAGATAAAAAGCATAGACTTCACATTCACCATGTGGTTCATCTGAGATATTCTCTCTCTCCCTCAGGCCAGAACATCTCATTTGACTTCCTCTGTGATACAGTCCACATGGTTTATGATCGCCCTTATGTTTTGGTTCAGAAAACCGGGCTCAATACACCTCTCAAAAAAAAAGCAGACTCAATTTAAACACATCCGAAGGCAGCAAAAACTCCACACCTACCTTGGTAATTTGTTCCAAGAGTTGGCTCGCCCGACAGGTGAAAAGGTGTGGTGTATTTCTAAGCTGAACTGTCCTCTTGCCTTTCAGATACCGCTTTTTTGCTGTGTACCTCTCTGCTGAATGCCAGAGTAATTTTGTACTCTATTTTCAGGTCATGAAGGTACCTACACACCTATCCTCTTTTGACTAAACTGAGCTCTATCTCACCGTAAAGCACTTTCTCAAATACTTTACTTTTGTGACTCTCTTCTGTAGTCCTTTCCAGTATTTCAATGCCCATTTAAAAAAAGAAACAACTGACAAAATAGCTTACTAACGTTTCAGTATGAGCCACCCCAAATCCATGTGCAGTGTCTTCCCCTATTCCTACTCTTTAATATATATTTTATAGGTCAATGGGTATCAATAGCACTTTTGCTACAGAACAGTGAGCTCCTCTGTTCAGTTGCACATCTCTTGATACTTCATTCCTTCCCAGAGTTGCTGCTTTGCAGAGACATATCCCACTCCAGACATACACATTTGTCTGAATTAAGAACACATTCTGTTTGAGTTAGCTCGCTGTGCAGAGTAATGCAAGTCGCTCATCTTGCAGACCTACGTCCAACAGCTATGTAGCCCTGGGCCTGACACTGATGCCTACAAAAATCAAAGCACCACCTTCTTTCAGTAAGCAATTCCAGGTAATTACTTTTCAAATCCACATCCCTACAGGATCGTAGCAATTAATTCCCACTCTGAAATAAGATTTTAGTTTTGTGCTTACCTGCTTGATACTGTTCCTGTGACAGAAAACACACTCTAGCTCACCTACTAAGAACAGGTAGGGAAGATCTCTGTTCAGAGCTTATTGAAAGGACTTTTTACAGCTTTACAAATTCATCGGAGGTATGGGACTCATGACCAAAAGTTTATGAAGAAATTAAAAACAATCAGTGATTTAAAAAACCCAACCAAACAAAAAACCAACAGAACACTGTACCTCTGCGAGATCCTCAAAGCAGCTGCCAGCCAGCGGATGAGGACTGCTTTCATCAGTCATTTCAACAGTATCCTCAATCAATCCTAAAAGCTTCACCGTCAGCTCATGAATGTCTGAAATGTTGCTAAATATCACATCGATATCCTGCAAACATAAAACACACCTTAGTAGTGTTTAGAATAATTTATTTCGCTTATGTAAATATCGGAGCATTTTTCGTGAAGTCTGAACCAAGAGGTAAATGGAGAGGAGCGAACAAAAAGCTAGGAAGAAAGTTAAATTACGTGGTCTTCCCAGCCCTGCAAGCTTGTCTGGACACATCCAGCCTTGCACAATTCTCCCCCCAGCGAAAACAAGCACACCATCTCTCCAGGCCGGAGCAGCAGCAGTCCCGGTACAGGCTGTTCAGTGCTTTGGACAGAAACGCCTGGCCTTTTCAGCCACAATTCACAGCTGTTATTTTCCCCTCTGCTGATTCTTGTCTCTCAGAACACAACAGGAAGGAGGCAATTTAAAGCAGCTCCAAGGTCAGATCCTCTAAACCACAGGTGAAACTCAAGCAGCTACTCGGCTACTTTAGCAGAACACTACCTGGGTACGGAGGAATCAGCAGCTTCCTTTTCCAAAGCCTACTTTTAGATTTTTCAAATCCACACACTGCAAACACACCCAACTAGGCAGCCCCTTCCAGTGACCCGCATTCTTCTTCTGACCCCTCTGAAACGCGCTTCTCGGAAGCCCTCTCTGCCCCAACCTAACGCTGCAGAGCTTGCTTGACCTCCTGCCAGCACCAAGACCATGGCAATCTCTTCGTGGGAACAAGCAATCTCGAAACTTCTCATACCCGTTCCCACGTAACACGAGAATATTCCTGAGCTCCAAAATATCGCTCCCTTCTCCTCCCATCACCTTTGTTTGAATTCTGTCCCCACATTTGCACAATTCTCTGATGTCCTGTCAGCTACCGAGGAGCCTCCACACCCAGCCGGAATGGGAATGTTTCCTGCTGCCTCTCTTTTTAACCTGCTGGCATCGCCTACAAATCCCAGTTCAGCTTCTGCTGGCCTGGTCCCCTTCTCCTTCCTCCCACAGGAAGGATTCACTCATCTGTCCTCACTACTCTTCTCTTACAAGAGCTGGGCTTCCTTCTTACGCTCTAGCATCCCGAAAACAGAATTTGCCACACATACAATTTCAATCCAATATTTCAATTATTTATTAAATCAAGATTCCCTTCGCAGTCAGTCGCACGCTAGAGAACCCAGAGCCAAGGGCTGTTTTACTTGTAGCTTCGGCAGACAGGGGTGCCCAGGATAGACTTCAAATATCAATTTAAGCATTCATCTGCATTCACTGCACATGCAGGTAGATAACTGTTAATTTTTGTGTTAAGCAAAAGAGTAACTACTACCTACGTGACCAAAGGACTCCAGCTATTGCTGGCATCCAACAGGGAATCGTGTCCATTAAGCTTCACTCTGAGAGCAGCGCTCTTCATACTATTAATGGCAATTCCTCCATTTTACCTCATATACAGGCAACACTCATTATGCGCTGACATACAATAAATCAAATTTAATTTTACCTCCAACGCAGTGAATGTAATATTGATATGTTATGGCTGCTAATGGAGCGACTAGCATTACACATCAATAACCTCTTAAAGGACTTACATAAGGTGTGAACAATTTTCTGTTTGATAGGAAAGCTTCCCGAAATACTTTTATTATCAGATTCAACTCCCGCAGATATTGCCTTTCTTCTGCAATTTCGTTTCTCACTAGGTCATAGTAGTTGAGTTCTCCAGAAGAAGAGGGCTCGTCTTCACAGAGAGAAACCAAACCAATGTCATCCTGATCAAACATATCCATCAAAACCTAGCAAAGAAATGAAAAAAATTACATGCAAGCCTGATTTTTACACTTGCTTCAAGCTCAACTATTTCAATGTGTTCAGGGCAATCCTTTGAGTCTTTAATACAATACTTTCTGTGATCACTTTCACAAGGGAGTAATATTTAAACTTTGGCAGCAGCAGGCTGGATCAGTTGCCAAAGCCATTTTCCCCTTTCTAAGTTAGTACGACCTAGAAAACAAGTTACAATTCATGCAGAACCAACTTGGAAAACAAGGCATCTTGCATAAGCCTTTGACAAAATCCTCCTGATAACGATAAAATTAAACAAAAATGTTTCTCATTTTTATGAGGATGAAAACTAAATATCTTTTCTGTATTGCAAAGAAGGAAAGAGCTGTCATAACAAAGCAACATCAGGAGGACAGTAACACAGCTGACAAATAAAGGATGACGTCATTTTCTGTCCTTACATTGTTTTTGTAAGTACTACTACTGTCCCAAAACTTAACAGCCTGTTAACTTAAACTTAAGTCTTTACTGTGACAGGTCTGGCATGAACAAGGAGAGAAGCTTCTACATTTCACAGAATCACAGACTGGCAGGGGTTGGAAGGGACCTCGGGAGATCACCCAGTCCAACCCTCCTGCTCAAGCAGGTTCACCTAGAGCATGTTGCACAGGACATCGTCCGGGCGGGCTTTGAGTAAGACCAGTCTCTCCCTCCTACATTGGATATCTCTTCTTAAAAAAAAAAAAAAAATCGCCTCTGTATCAGTCCAAAAGAGTATTTTAATCCCAACTCCTTACCTTATCAGCACACATTGATACTTTAATGTCCTGCTGGGAGATCTCAAAGTGTCGTATATTGAAAACATAGTTTCCAGCCAGCTTTAAAATGTCAGCTGAGATGTATTCTAAGACAGCCACAATATACAGAGAGACATGGTAATCTACCTTATAACCTAGGACCTCCTGCAAATTGAAAATAAGAGAAAAAAAAATGCTATTTAGTCCAGAAATTCATTTGGAATGACAATAACACAGTGAGTTTTCTACTGAAACTGATCTTGTCTGTGCTGATAATTGACAGCAATGCAACAGGCAGGGCAAAGGACATCCAAGGGAAATTTGAGCAGCCGCCTCAAAGGAAATGCTTGCAAATACTTCCGTGTGCTACTTTGCCATATGCTGGCAGAGGAGAACCTACAGAACTTCCAAAAATCCTTCCTCTAAAAACAACAGTCCTAAAACCAGGGTTCCTTCAAGGAAGGGACTTCACTGGAACCACTCTTGCACTTAAATTTTCATCTATAACTCTGGTTATTGCAGGACTCTGGCCCTAAACTTCAGAAAAGAGCATGCTTCATTTTGAATGGTTCTTGATGGAAAAAGTTGTCTTTCATGAAACTACAGACTTGAACCTGTTACATACTGCAATCCATTTTACTCCATCCTTTGCATCTGGCTGAACAACTAAGCTATCTGTGTCCTTGCATTACATAAAATAATTAAACTTTAATCATTAAAGTCTGAACAGAAAAAAAAAAACCAGGCTGAATGCTACACGTTCTCCTTGTGATACAGGTTCCACCTTCTGCAGAGCGTGCACCACACAGCCTCTTATTTGTGACAGGACCATCAAGAATAAATACAGGCTAAGTTCATGCATTTGAGTAAGGTGGTCCTGGTTCTTATCGTATTTTGATGCAACTTCTAAAAATCAGATTCTGTGCCTATGCCCACACACTTCTAAACCAGACTTCAAAAAAGAAAGCCAGTGTTGTCTAGGAAGGTCTTATTTAATGCTGTTTTCTTTTGTAACATCTCTTCCCCTCTCATTAACCGTCACAAACCGAGACACTGTATGGAAGAACACAGTGACTACACCTGAAAAATCCTGTAATTTCTGCTTATGCTTGAATAATGTTTTCTCAGTGCAGCTGGAAACTCTGGTGCAACAATGCCACCACTGGAGAGAAGCATTTTTTAAGCTATGAACAAAAAGCCAAATCAATAGAAAAAAATACATACCAAAAAAGAGCAGTGTTTGAATCAGCCTGAATCTATTGATTCAGCACTGATCTAACAGTGATTAAACACTGATCTAAAAATCAGAGTGCTGTTTTATCATTTAAAAAAAAATAAAAACTCTAGAGGGGCATGGTGTGAGTACGTGCTTGCTGTCTGACACTAAAACCTGACTGTAAGCAAGGAGCTCTATAGCTGTCATAAGTAACCTGACATCTAAGAACCGAGGTGCCCACTCTCCTCCTCAAAACCCACCGACCATAAAGTCCTTATGTGGTCTTTTGTTACACCTTTGCAGATCTATTGATTTTAAAACCAAGGCATCGGTGACATTCAACAGTAACCCGAAGGACGCTGATACACATCTTGGTTGACAGTACACAAGGAACAGGATCTACTTGTTCTCCCTTCTTCTATTTTGGCTTCTGCAGCATTTTGAAACAAATAAAGCAACAAAATGGTGCTACTGAAGTAGGTAAGGTATTTGAGTTTGGGTTTTATCTATGTGAAAAACTAACTAGTCATATTTCAAAGTAGAGTAATACATTAAGACATTAATGTCTAGAACACAATGAATTTAGATATCTACATTTATTACATCTACAATATATTAATCCCGTCCTATGGTGACTTTACTCTTTCAGCCAGTATGAGAGACTTACCTAATTTCACACAATTGAAAGAAATACTTTAAAGGTTATGCTGGAGGGCAATGTTGGTTTAAGTACCTTTAATAAAGGATGTATTTTGTCCACAGGGAGCAGGAGAGGGTTTCTTCTTTTTCGTTTCTCTATAGCAGACTGCGCATCAGCAATCGCCCACTTGTCTATTGGATGAGGAAATGTCTTTTGAACGCGCTCCTGTCCAAACATAAAGAGTGCACTTAGATTAACCGCAGTAATCAAAGAGAAGTTTAAAAACCAAAACAAAACAGCAAATTACTTCCCCTGCAGTATAAACAATTATCCTCCTCCTCAGCGTTTGCAACACGTTTTCCTAACGGTTCTCTCCTTCTTACCCAACTCAGCCTCACTCTTTTCAATAATCCCAAACCACCTCCCTTCCCTAAGCACGAAGAACTCCTTCAAATCTCCTACAACAACTCCTGCTCTATGATCTCCTCAGCTGAGACCAGGAGCCCAAAATATAAACAGCATCAGGAAGTACTGAACAGATTACAGTCTAAATGAAAAAAACAGCTTGGTAGTGTTCCTATTTCATCAAAGTCCAGAGTGTGACTTGCCCGATATGAGATCAAGTTTACGGCAGAAATGAAAAGAACGAGTGTGGGACCTTCTAACCAGGAGGAGGGCTGTGATTCATGGAGAAGGCTGGCTATACCACTTTGGACTCCACAAGCCCCCACCGGAGCATCTTCCCCGCTGCACAGCCACTCCCCATGGCTGCAGTTTACAGACTCCGCTACCACAGTAAACTGTACGCGACTTCAGGTCACTTTTACAGAGATTCGCATTTCAACAGCTGCTACAGGAACAGGCGAGACCATCCCCTTAACAGAACAAACTCCTTCAGGCAGCAGCCCCACACTTCAGTAGCCCCCAGCTAAACACGTGCGAGAGCCCAGTCCTGCTTTCCATGAAGCCCTCCAGGCTTCCCGCTGCGGCCCATGCGAGCTGGGGAATTGAACGCTGGCAGAACGAGTCTGAACTGAACTCTGATGACTGCTTCTTAGGTGACTTTGGAAAACACGGATTTTTTTTTAAGTTCAATAGCTATCCCGTAAGGAGCACAAAAGGCAAGCGAGCTGTCTTCCAGAGCACTCGTGACTGCCACGGCTCTGTTCAGCTCCCCGGGGGAGCAGCGATCACCCCCGGCTGCGCAGCCCATCACCGTGCCCTCGCTCCAGCCAGCACTGCCAGGCAGGCACAGCGTGCGGCGCGGTGCCGTACCCGACCTCTGCTTTGGACCTGTAACCCCTAGAGGAGAGGTTTTATAGAGGAGCTGAAGAATGCTCCGAGAAAAATGGTGAAATCTATGTGTCCCTTCGATAAAAAGATTTTTGCCCCATTCTGAAATTTAACAGAAGGCCTGAGGTCTTCAACGAGGCAGCTTTTAAATATTCGCACGTGGCCATTTCACGCTCAACGTTCTGCATCAGGTGAACACACGGTGACCCCTCCTCTTGGACAGCAGCCTAAAGCTGGGGGCTGGCTCACCCAAATGAACTTTCCTTGAGATTCCACCGGGAGATCGCCCGCAAAACGGACGTAACGTGGCATTCAGCTGCCCTTCAACTCAGCAGTGCGCTTGACGAGTAACACACACCTCTCGCGCTCGGGCTTTGCTGGATCCCTCTGCTTTGTTGGGAACAATTTGGGCCTGTTCTATCTATAAAACCTTTGAGATTTTAGACCTTGGTCTTGTGAATACTTAAGTATAATAATATGCACAAATAGCTCCATTAACTCCAGGCTGCTACGTAAATATCAGCATGATAAACTTTAGAGATTACAGCTCTCATTTTTTCCCCTAACAGCTAAAAACAGACGAGGAGCAGAGCCAAAAGCCTTTATTCGTGGATCTCAGACGCCTGCTGGCAGCGCAATCTTACCAACAACCTGTAACACAAAACTGAATTCTACTTTCCCTGCTCTGGAAGAGTCTGAATTTATTGACCTACAGAACAATAACGTTTTGAGAAACCCATTACCACTACTTAGACCTAGCTCTGTGTTTTTAAATTAAATAACTGTTCTATTGCCAAGCGCAACAATGTTTTATTGTTCACAGCTTTAAAATGCCAGGTATATTTAAAATACAATACACAGGATTTAGAGTCTGCTGTGATATTCGTAACCACAATTCAGAGAGCTGCCAGTCACCTCAGAAGGCTGGCTGTGCAGTTTTGCACACAGTAATTTGTGGAGCATACACATACCTAATGAAAATTACTAATTCATACATACAGGAGGTAATTTTATCATCTCATGACTCAGAAGCAGAAAAGTACGGAGCTGGTGTGGAGAATAACCAGCGCTATTTCAAAGTGTCCTGTGTGCTGGAGGGTTTGGTCAGCTGGGAACTGGAGGAAGAACATGGTGTTTCTCAGCTCCACATCTAAAGTTCAAATCCAGGCTCAAGGCAGTAACAATTCTGAGAGCTATTAAGGGACTATTAAGTTTTGCTTTTATTTGGTCATACTATAATCTTTAGTCATATTATAATCTTTATGCATCAGTATTTCAAAATACATTAATCGTAAACCAAAATTAATAACTAATGAATTAACTTGATGTTGAATAAAGGGTGATTGCAGCGTCTAGTAAGAATCTAAAACCCCTCAGGCAATTATTTTGTAAATATATCTATTCTTTATTTCCATGACACACACAGAGAATATTTGACGAGGACTTCATTTTATCTAGGCTGAAAATCCTAGACATATAGATTGATGTAAAATTAATACTTTACAAAGCTATAATGGGCCACGGCTACATGAGAGCACTTTCTCCCCCTAGACCGTACACTGAAGCGCACTCCATTAAAGCCCTCATTTTGTAACTGATGACACAAAAGCAGACAGCTGCAATAATACAAGAGCCTCAGTGAGTTCAATAAAGTTCCAGGAACATACAACTCTATTCCCTCAGCTGCACAATCCGGACCTCACAACAGTAATCTTTCATTCCAGTATTTACTTTTCTTCTGTATATTTATGTCAAAGAGTAGGAAAACTTGCAACGTCCTTACGTTCTTCAGTCCAAGGTGCATTCGAGCAGCAGAAATGCAGTATTCTGCATTTATAAAGATAATGCTGTAAGAAAAATATCCTATCATTTCTATCCTGAAGCCCTGTATAGCAAAATGAGTTTCCAATTAAGCTTGCTTTGCGAAATCTGAATGCTATATAATCTTTTTGAAAGGCAGTATTAACAAGCTCTGCCTTTTGGATTCACCTTCCTTTAACTTCAACCTGCGCTGCTCAAAATATCTTCGTTCCTCTTAGTGATTGTGCAAGCAACCGCTTGGTTTTCCACCATCTGGTCTTACCTCTACGTCTTGGACAGTCCGTGGCTGAGCAATGCATAGTTTGTTTAGCAGCTGAAATATCAACTCTTCAATGTAATAGAGGGAATCTTCTTTTGCTGAAAGGTTTGGGTGAACCTGTTGCTGAACCTGTCCAAAAGAATTAAAAGAATTAGGCGGGGTTTTTTTCCCATTTAAAGCTGTACAGAAGCAAGAATCGGAAAAAAGCAGAGTACCTCTGTACTGTAGTGCTGCAAATTCGCACACTTCCAGTAATTTCCCCCAAGTTTTGCTACGCAGTTAAGATGGCAATTCCTACTCCTGCAAAGTTGGCGCCTCTATTCAATTAAAAACTTAAGTGTTTAGCCTTTGTGGTGGAGAAGAAATTTCAAGCCAAGGCAGATTTCTGCCAACGATGCAGTGAAAACAATCACTGTGTGTAATTCTGCAGTTATTCATCCATGGAATGAGTAAGATACAGTTATGTTACTAAGCCTACTAATGAGCACCGGGTGACTGTGAACAGAAGAGAAACATGGACCCACCAGAGGAAAAGACTTAATAAGCAAGGACACCGGGATAAGAGAACTAACCAGTCTGGCAGGGAAGTGAATTAAAGCACTGTTAAAACCTATGGCAATAAAAAGCCACGGCCACGATACTGGAGAAGGGCTGGAACAACTCTCTGAGATGCCTCAGAACCAGAAAACTAACCAGAACATGAAACGCTGTCTGAGGCATGGGAAAGAGAGATGTGAAATACTTACAAGAGAGAGGGAGACCTAAGGAAAAGCATGAGTCAAAATACAAAAGTGTCAAAACTAGGAAACGTGCTGTGAGAAAAGCTGACTTCCACCTCCCTCTAACGCAAGGCAGGATAACGCCTTTTATCTCACTTCACGGAGATTAATCACGGCTTTTGTTTCCAGGGCTAAGCTAGACCAGACAACATGGAACAGGCAACCTCAGCCTTGCCCACACAAGCTAAAGGGCCACAACTAACTCGCCCTGGTCCTACATGGATGTTTTCCTACTAAAAATCTCCCAAAACCAAATAACCATCCCACCTTAAAAAAAAAAAAAGCACACTCAAGAGTTAGTCTATATACTCAGTTTCCCCTGGCAGCCTCTCAATCAGGAAAGTGCTAACTGGATCTTCAACTATAGCCAAAAGATTCCTAACTAACACAGTCCAGGGAAATTCCCTACTCTCCCCATACAAATTATATGTTAATCACCCCAAAAAAGTAATCTTACATACTTACATTGGCATTCTGTACGTGGTTTCAAACACAAGACAAACGGATCGGTAGTTTCTCAGGAGAAGACAGTAACATCTTTGGGTCAATTCTGATCCTCCGAAACACACGCACTCCTCCCTCCAAAGACAACGGGCGAGTCCGCAAACACTGGGGGGCTCCGAGAGCTTCCTCCAAATTAAGTAACTAATGATTTAATAGCAATACCTTGGGGGCACTCGATTTGCAGCCCTGAAGGTCTTTATAAGTCGTGCAACAAGACCAACAAGGAAGTAAGGTGTCTGGCCGGCTTCCTTCCCTGCTGGCCACAGAGGAAGGTGGGAAGAGCTGCCTGGGAGCCGGCGGAACCGCAAGGAACCACTCGCCGCTCCACCTCCTGCTGTGCCAAAGCCTGAAAGAACTGGGGGAACGGGACTGCGCTTTGCTCCCCCCCGCCTCCATGTGAGAAGAGGGGAAGAGTCAGGATGACCAACAGGTAGGGAGAAAAAGTGAAGACCCATGGAAGGGACCGCCAGAAGGGGCTGGTGCCGTACACTGTCAACATCCTAGAGGCAGAGATGATGACTTGGGTGGAGAAGTCTACCAATGCACTGCTCGAAGATAGGGGAGCACAGACAGGGACCACACGTACCAACGATGGGAATCTGAACGTCTCAGGGGAGCGGGAAAAGGGACAGACACTGAAACGGGAAAACGTACACTGGTCTGATTGCATTGGAGTTGATAATTAAGGTGTTACATGGCGGTGGTGAAGAGACTGCCGATGATGGGGGCTCCTCTGAGATACCCAGGGAGAGACGCCCTCCCAGGCAACAACGCCCATTTCTAGTGCTTAACTCTGCACCGGCATCCTTCCTCAAAAAGCACAGGTGAAGGAAAGACATTAATAAGGCAGCTGTACAGCAAGAGAGAAGGGAACACACATTCTGCTTCCGATCCAGCTGTTCGGGTTTGTTCTGGAGTTTCTGCGTAGATCTTTATGGATCATTTAGTCTTCTGCACCTCAAACATGAAGACTTCTCAGCTTCATAGAACCATTGCGCCGCTGCCGCGTATGCAAGAGCAGGTACTACTAAAAGAAAAAAACCCCACCCCAACCAACCCTCAAGAAAATCAACATCACCCCTTGAAAACTCTCCCTTAAGACTGGAGGTTTTCAACAACAGTCAGCATTCATGTTCTTCCTGAACGTGAGAGTTTAATTCACAAAACAATGGAAAACCAGGAAGCGTCGAGTTAAGGTCCCACCACGTCTCTCTTACACGAGCACTACCACAGCAAAAGCATTAGCTAGCTAACTAGGAAAGAAGATGAAATGAGACTTCCCCCACAACGAACCCTTAATGATGCTCCACAGAAATGACAAGAACGGGAGCTGTAAGAAGAGGAGGAAGGGAAGCTGTGCTCCCCTTAAGAGCAGATGGGGAACTCCCGTTTTCTGATCGCAACCATTCTCCTCCTCTCACGGGGGTCCCTCATTTTAAAAACAGATGTCACTGCCACAAAATGACTTCACTTGTAACGTTCACAGGTCTAACCAGCTCAGGCCATACCTCCCTCAGCTTGCTCAAGAGCACGTGGATATCTTAACAAGGTTGAGGACAAAGCAAGAGGAGCACGCAGCTCTCTTCAAACACCGGCAGAGAATCTCAGCTTCATACAATGAACACAAATAGAAGTGCCGGAGTCGATTTTGCTTCGAAAGGAGCAAAACCGGCAACAAAGCCCAACGTGTCTTGGTTGAGACAACTCTTCCCAGAGGATTTAGAAATCAGCTTCTGTTTGAAACGATACTGCCTGTGGCATCGCAGAAAGGTCCCGGAGGTACTCACGCAATCCCTGGCTTTAGGATAAGTTATCTTGACGTAAGTGCTGTTACTGAGAAAAAACAATTTCATAGCAAGGCACTGCCTTTCATAGCGAAACAAAAAGCCAGTTATAAAAGCCATGCATCGGCTGATCAAATCAGATGCCGCTGCGTCAAGGACAGAACACTTACTCTGAATTTACAGTATTCACCTAAACCCTGACTGAAAGGACTGGAAAAGCAAGGAGAGTCTGATAAAATACTGAATGTATGGAAAAAAGCAGGAGGAACTACTGAGGACATGTTTCTTACAGAAGGTACATTCACCGATTTCAGGTTCAGACTGAAAAATTTTGAGCACAATTGCATCAGCTGGCATGGAATAACACAGCATAGCTAGCACGAGGGTAACTTTTCACCTGACTTGTAACTGCTTCCTTTAAGGGTCAAAATACTTAAACCCACAACATGCTGCACTAACCAGCAAGAGCTGTGCTGCAAGAACTCTGAGCAGAAGGTATCAGAGAAACCAGATTTTTTAACCTATTTCACCTCTGAAACAACCCAAGCAGAGTGCCTGAAGTCATTAGAGGGAGATATTAGCAGGACTAACTCATTTTTACTGTGTTATTCACATGGGATTATTCCTTCACAAGCTGTTCCAAGGAATAGAGATGAAGCAACAAGTACGAGTCCCATAAGCGTGGCACTTAAACGTGGCCTGAAGGCCTTTTGGGGGGACGTACTTTTATTTTAGATGGGAGTTCCTAAACTGCTCCTTCCCTTGCTCATCTTTACTTCTCCCTACCCTTCCACCCCTCCAACACGTGCATATTTGATGAAAATCCAGCGGCGGCTTCACAGGGGCGTCTCCTTCCCAGGGCTGCAGCCGTCAGCAGATTTGGCAGGGCTCTCCAAGAGCTCAACTGAATTTGTACAAGCAGCGGCTCAAGAGGAGACCGAAAAACCCCTTCAAGGTAAATTGAGATCCTCCCCACAGTTCCTTCGGAGAGGCAGGTCCCGCACCACGCCACAAAAGCTTCTAGGGAAAACAGGCAGCTGTGGAGATGAGGTCAAGCTCAAAATTCCTTCTTGGTGAGATTTTAACAGTCCTTACGGGCCCCTGGGAAGAAGTCTGTTAAGACAAGATGAGGATGAAAGCCCTTCAAGGAGATTATCAGTATTAGGACTAGAAATGGACTGATGGTATTTTTTAGAACTAATATAAGGGCGAGCTTAATTTTGAACTGCAAGAGATCTGGCACGAATATCAATAATATCTGGACTTGGGGAAATTCAGAAGTCCTGAATATACAAGCAATGGTCAAAAGGTGGTATCTGAAACAACAAAAAGCTGAGGAAAAAAAAATACTAGAGTCAAAACGGCAAGTAACTTCTTTTTAGCCTGTACTAATGAGACAAACCAGCAATGTGGCTATACTGCCTCAATATATTTTTACATAATACATGAATTTTGGTAGTAGAAACACATTCAGAAAGCTCCAGTTGTTCCATAGTAAGCACGCGGGCAAAACAAGAGATTGCTCATAAACAAACAAACCAACCAAAATAGAAAAACCCCAAACCCATGACACGCAGAGAGTCTAAATTTGGATAGCATATACCATCACAAACATATAAATTCATATTCCTGAAAGACAACAATATCCCACTTCTCTACTTACATTCAAAACAACTTCAGAAAACAATTCCAGTATTACCTGAGATTTCAGAACAAGAAATTTCTAATTTAAAAAAATGCCACCACAAAATCTGTTAGCATGGCAATAGAACATTTCTAGGCTTACTACGCTAATGGGATAGCTTAATAAATTGCACGTTAAATTTGTAAACTGTTTGCAGCAGAAGCTCCTCATTCTCCTTTCCCACAGCAACCGATTTCAACTTAAGAAATGATTCACATTTTACTCGCCTCGTAAAAACACAGTTTGCGTAAAAACTTTGCAGGGCGTTTTGTTTACTTGAGAAACAAAGCATATAAATTTGGGAGGAAGAAAAATAATTAGGACATAAAAGTTAAATATTTACTATCATGGGCTGGTTACGGTCTTGCCAACACTTGTCAGTATTTCCATACGCTGTGTTCCAGGTGATGAAAATACATCACTGACAAAGCAGCACCGGGTTTGCCCCGCACCGAGATGCTGAGAGCCAGGAAGAAGAAAAAAAATTCGTCTGACAAATGTCTTTTTAGGTTGGGTTTTTATTCCTTCTTATCTTTCCTCTTCTAAAGATAACACTGCCCATTAGAAACATAAAACATCTGCTCCAAAGGCATTTTTAATCCCTCATCCGGATGATGCTCCAGAGGAAGAGGGGAACCAGATGTGGTAACTTAAAGGCCTGCGATGCTCTTAGAGATGACAGCTTTGATATTCCCAATTTTCAAGCACAATTACAGCATAACTCTTTAGAAAGATCCACAAGGATTTAAATACTCAAATAAAAACGCACTGACAACTTTTTAAAAATAACCACGCTCATGTCTAACTTTCTTTCTGATTTCTGGATAGCCCATCTTTCTTAAACTAATACATGCTGGTCAAGGAACAACATGAAGTAGTCTCTTAAGCAAAGCAGAACTTAATAATTTATCTACATGCAGCACTGCAGCTTTTTCACTGCAATTCTGAACGTCTGATGCATGGTTAGGAAAAGTATTCTTGTAACTGAGCTATGAAAAGCATCTCAGGTGCAGACGATCCGTCAGCTGCCTGACCTCAAAACCACCGACTGCCATTAAGCGACTGCGTACAGGGGCAATTAAAGTCACCTTACGCCACCGCTTCAGCGTAAATGTACTTTTTTTTTCTCCATCTTTAGCTATTTAACTACTACTCTCCTCTAGTATATTCTAGTGGAGGGGAGGGTGAATTAAAGGAGGTTCACGACGGGTGGTGCAAACAGGGATCTGCGTTCTGAAACGGCACCCAAGACGGTCCTGAGGTCTACTGGGAAGTCCACTTGGTGCAGACAGAAAAACCACGTTGGTAACGGCACGAAGGCCACTCAGCTGATGCACAGGCGGTCGACAAACCGTAAAGCGAACGCAGACCCCATCCCTCCCACCTTTCTCTGCAATGTGGCACGTCAGGCACCTCGATGGCCCGTGCTGGAAGGGACTGGGGGACCATGGCCAGCACGGGGCTCGGTCCCTGCCTGCGTCCTGCCCCCACTGCACCAATTTCAGGCTTCTGCTGATGACCGCAGGGATGGGTTTCCTCAAATTGCTGCCTGCCGGTAGTTTCTCCTGCTGGCCCTTCCCCACGGTGCCTCACTTCTGCTGTATCTGCTCTCACCGACATTTCGTGTTTTGTTTCCCACACCACCTCCACAGTCTCTGCTTTTCTACCCAAACGCACGAAATCACTCTTCTCTAGATGGTCGTGTCCTTTTATATGGAGCCAAGGAGAAACTAAAATGTGTGCATGCCTATACGTACACAAACACATGTATTTTAATCTTAAAAACGGATGGAAAATCAAGTATTTGGATTTTATCCATCCACACAAAACGCCTTGTTTAAATTGAGATAAACCCTGAATGAGCCAGGCACAGCCCCTGCCCTGCGATATGGAAGGAAAACACCACGGCCGGTGCGGAGATTGCTGCGCACACGTCTTACTTCAACAGAACAGCTTCTTATTCTCCCCCAATTCTTCCAGACATCACTTCCCAGAGCCGAGAGCTGCTCTGGGCCCTGAACCCAGCACCCGCAGGCTCCCTCTCCCCGCTTCTTACATTGCGCCCTTCCCAAGAAGAACCGCTCGCTCAGGCAGACTGAAGTATTCAAACAGGCCAGTAACTTTTCAATTAGGTCTTCAGAAGGTTTAAAAATAAAAATTACTCGATGAGCACCACAGGCCAGCAGAGTTTGGAGCTGCAGACGGAGCTTTGGGATAATATTTTAAGTGAACAGATGTGGAAATGCAGCACTGAACAATAAATGATATATACTGCTTAGAAGTTAAAAAAAAAAAAAAGGCCAAACCTGAAATCTGGAGACGGTGGAGGCTGCCAGAGTCATTTTTTTGTGAACCAGACAGTCATTGAAATTACATTAAAAAGTAAGGGGAAGTGTCAGGAGAATAGAGAGGCTGTAAATATGGGGAAAAGATGTCCTCAGCATGGTTTGCTTTTTTACCCCCCCCACAACTAATCCGCTGAACTCAAGGAACGGCAGCACACGGCTCAGCTGAAAACCCTGGCGGAAAAGGAATTGGTGAGGGAATTATAAAAGCAAATAACAGACTCAACAGCTTCTCCGGAGGAGAACAGGTAACGCTTGCACTGTGCAAATGAGGAGAAGAGAGGTGAAAAACCAGGGAGAGCAGGAGAGGTGGTGGAGAGGAGACAAGGACTGGAAAGGTGCGGGGCTCGGGCAGGAGAACAAATGGGGAGATGAGGAGAAGAGAAGCCCACCCTGCCCGGCACCGGCACCCAGAAGGGGCAAGACGACCGCAGGTGAGGGGAATAAAGGTGCAAGAGCGAGGTGAATCATGGCAGGGAACAGTTTGGTTTTTCTTCCTGTGACCAGTTAGCCCAGCAAGTCTTTAAGGCAACGCAAACGCTAATTTCCATGTTCCATTCTAACAGCACGGGTAGGAAGTGCTTCTGCTGCTGCCGCTGCCAAATGAAATTGAAAGTTCCTACTACCTTTAAATGCCGCAGATTTAAAACTAGCTTCATTTCATGCCACTGGCTGAGAAAACTCTCCTATTACCATTTGCCAACTGCAGGTTCCAGCGACAGTACTTAAGCTAAACAGCGTAACAGCTGGGGGGGGGAAAAAAAGGATGAAAAAGTAGGATTTAGGTAAAAGGACCAGTCCCTTTAGTTCCAAATATTATTTATGATAGTGAGTATTTATGCAAGAATGAAGAAAAAAACCAGTCTACTTACTCGTAAGGGACTAAACCCAAGCTATAACGATACCCAACTGCTACTGGGAATACAAAAGGTCTGGAGGAATTAGCCCACTGTTTACAGAAGGCTTGGTAGTGTCCACATCATGGGGACTCGCTGTTCCTTTCCACACCTCCAGCCACCTCTCGATTGTGAACGCGGTGTTGTGAGGCCACCACCGGATCTGTACGTCGAACTCGCACGGGTCTACGTATCTCACAGGTAATGAAGTATCACCAGCGCTTCCCTCATTTGCCATTCTCCCAAGCTGAACGTCACAGAGGCGTTCACGTTCGGAGCACCTGCAAATCTGCAAAGGTCTTCAGAGCTCAAATAAATATATTTATTAGAAGCTAAACGACCTAACAGATTTCAAAACTAAATACCACTATTATTTTAAAACATCATAACAAGCAACTCTGCAGTTGAAATTATAATGCATTAAATAATAATGCGTGCTAATGAAATTAGTATGCATTAAATAATAAGCCATTATAATGACACTATAATGCATTAAATAATTCTAACCCAAGGGGGCCTGATCCTGCAATGGAAGACGTGCGGGCGAACTGCCCCAATGGAGGAGTGAAGAAAGCGGGGCAGCCCCTGCACTTCCCCCAGCCACGCAACCTTACACAAGAGCTGTGTCATTACACATTAACTCCCATATGTTTTCATAGAATCATAGAATGTTTTGGGTTGGAAGGGACCCCTAGAGGTCACCCAGCCCAACCCCCCTGCAGGAGCAGGGACACCGCTAACCAGATCAGGTTGCTCACAGCCCCGGCCAACCTGGCCTGGAATGTTCCCAGGGATGGGGCCTCCACCCCCTCTCTGGGCAACCTGTTCCAGTGTTTCACCACCCTCATTGTAAAGAACTTCTTCCTTATATCCAGTCTAAACCTACCCTGGTTTAGTTTAAAACCATTACCCCTTGTCTTGTCACAGCCGTCCCTACTAAAAGATTTTCCCCCTCTTTCCTATAGGCCCCCTTTAGGTACTGAAAGGCTGCAATCAGGTCTCCCTGCAGCCTTCTCTTCTCCAGGCTGAACAAGCCCAACTCCCTCAGCCTGTCCTCATAGGAGAGGTGCTCCAGCCCCCGGATCATTTTTGTGGCCCTCCTCTGGACCCGCTCCAACACTTCCATGTCCTCCTTGTGCTGAGGGCTCCAGAGCTGGACGCAGGGCTCCAGGGGAGGCCTCACCAGAGCAGAGCAGAGGGGCAGAATCACCTCCCTTGACCTGCTGGCCACGCTTCTCCTGATGCAGCCCAGAGTACGGTTTTATAATATAGAGAAGCACTGAATTAATGTAAACTTCGAAAAAGTCCTCAAAATGGTCTTTTATATTTCTGCATGCAACACTTGCTAAGAATAAACCCTTTAGTCATGCTCTAGAAATTTGGTGAGTAGTCCAGAGCAATAGTGGAATTGTTTTAGAAAATGCAAATAGTGTACAGTGCCGTGATTACACCAACATGTCCAGCGCCTGCCGAAATGTGAGTGTTAACTGTTTAATGGTCCCTAGTGGGAGATAACGGAGAAAAATCGAAACAGTACCACCTAGGAGATGCTTGTGAATTTAACTGAGAAAAGTCAAAGAACAAAGCAACTGAATACACAGCTCTTGTTTGCAGAAATGTATTTTTAATTTGCCACTGGATTTGTAAGAGCACGCACAGATGATAGTGCACGCTAAGAATACACAAAAGTATTTTAGGGCAAATAAATCCATATATACATGTCCAACAACATCTTATGCATGATTCTAAAAAATACACACTAGTTCCACAGAGTCACCCATTTCATTTCAAAAACTTGTTCCGAGTAACTGGAATAGCAGTTTTATTCCAGGTAGCAATTTTGGAAGATACTTGGCATTAATGAAGTTTTCAATTACAATTCCCCAAAACTTTTCATACAATGCACGTCCAGCACATTAAAGCTGTGACCTTCAGCAGGTCAGTGGGAGTTACACACTCAGCTGCTACCACCGAGGGTCACGCGTGATTTTCTTGGGCTCCCCTGTAATCCCAGTCTAAGATTAATAGCTATGACATCAAAGTATTGACATCAACCTGGAAAATCAATTCAGTTCTGGAAAGTTTCATCTGGAAGAAAGTTGACAGTCAGCAAGAACAGAAGCTTTGGCACTGGATCTGCGCTAGGAAACCCACTTACAAAATTGAAGTGCCAGCTTTTAGAAACAGGTTTCATCATTTGACATCTTTCCCCACAAAGACCATCGGGCCAGGAACAGCTAAAAACCAAGCAACTCAAAACAAACCCAAACAAAAAACACCTGGAGGAATGAAAAAAAAAAAGGGGGGGCGGGGGGGAGAGAGCAAATTCCTCACCACCGCCTTCCCCTCCAGCACCCACCCACTGCAGGAGAAAATCCCCCTCCACAGAGGGTCCTGGTTTCGTGGGGGAAGGATCTGGCCAGCTGTGGTGGGGGCAGCCGAAAAGCCCCTCGCTCGCAGCCCTCCGACGCCCCGGCCAGCACCAGCTTTAACGATGCTGCCGGTGCCGACATCCCGAGGAGGGGAACCCAAGCAGCCCCGCCAGCGGGGCGTTTGAAATGCATGTGACTGCTGCTGGAACAGCTGCCCGCACGCTCCCACAGTTATTCCAAGAGACACTGTGAGCCTTTAATAACTAAAGTCAGCTCCCAGATTAAAAGCCGTTATAAAGCTTAGACCGTAGATCTGTCTGAAGCGATTTACTTGCTACAAACAGCAGTTCAAGTAACTATAACCTAAGCGACCAGATAAAAATACTGTTTTCTTCCGATTCATTTACTTTGACAGGACTTCTACAACGAGTTTCATTATACTCACTTCCTACTGAGGTTTCCAGCACAGGAACAAAAGAAAGTAAAATGTTTCAGAGTAAGGGCATGCCTGTAAATCTACCAGCTGGAAGAGAGGCAATACATGAAACTGCTTTAAAATTTTTAACTTACTAGATTCCAAGGTGCCAGCACTAAGGGTATGGTGATATAAATACATAAAAGAGATATTTAAAAAATCTGGTTTAATGATGTCTTGCCATTTAACTTTTTCTTCCTAAAAAGACTCACACTGGTAGGTACAATTTAGCACTCTCTAGTAATCTTAAAGATGCATGACCGCTTAAATGCATACAGAATATTGTTCAAAAGACAGATTCTCATCTTTTTTGCACATATTAAAGTAAGAACTGATGTATTTTACCATTTTTTCCCCTGCTCGTCATATGTTATGTCTCAGCTGCATAGAATTGAAGTAAATGCAAGGGTTTAAAATAGGTTTGATAAGAAGGGGTGACCTTAAACTTGCTGAATGCATAATGAGAGAGATGGAGCTCTTCAAAGCATGTTATGGACTTAACAACTGGAGAAGCAAGGGAATGCTGTCTGTTAGTGAACTGTACTGGCTCATAACCCAGCTCCACATCTTTCTGTACTTTGGAATTAAGATTTCCCACACCTGAACATACAGAAGGAAAACAAAAACAATTTCCCTCTTCTACTACCAGTTTCTCTCCTTCAAGAAGCGTTCGCCGAAAGGAAAAAGCTTTCAAGAACAGGAGATAGAATACTTTTCTCTGCACTTGCAGCGTAGGCTACTGAGATCAAAACCCTGCTAGAAGTTCAAAAAACTATTCCAGGCGTTCCACAGAATCCCAGAACCCCAGACTGGCAGGGGTTGGAAGGGACCTCGGGAGATCAGCCAGTGCCACCCCCTGCCAAAGCAGGCTCACCCAGAGCAGGGGGCACAGGACAGCGTCCAGGCGGGGGTTGAAGATCTCCAGAGAAGGAGACTCCACAGCCCCCCTGGGCAGCCTGGGCCAGGGCTTGGGCACCCTCACAGTCAACAAGTACTTCCTCTTGTTCAACTGGAACCTCTTCTGCTTCAGTTTGTGCCCATGGCCCCTTGTCCTGGCGCTGGGCACCACTGAGAAGAGTCTGGTTTAGCTAAAAAGTTTCTGAAGCTCAGACTTTCTTTAAAATTTTCATTGCAAAAGCAACCCGCTTGAAAAGATCACATCTAAACCGGCTGACAAGCCGACTTTTAAACCTCTTCAGAACAAAACTGCAAACTGTTTGAAAACTGTGGTAACATTTTATAAATTCTGATACTAGCACAAAGTGTGATGCTTTGGGGCACGCTTTGGATTCGGTGCCACACTTTTCAGCTCTCCTGTAAGTAACGGAAATGCCCTCATCTCATTATCAAAGTGAAAATGCAAGATGTAAACAAAACAACCCATAAATGTTCTAAAGTCTTCTGGTTTCAAAATCTCCAGTGTCCCTATTAAGACATCTGAGCTTTTAAAAGAATATGTTAAAACCGGCAGCGTCTCCCTAACAGCCTGACTGCAGTAACTGGAACAATGATCCAATTTTGGTTTGACTCACTGATACTGCGTGTTCATAAAAGAAATGCACACTACAGTACGATTGCTTCATGCTAAAGGGTGGGTACTGCAGACAAGGAACTTTCCCAGGAAGAAAAAAAAAAAAAAAAAAACTGTCTACAAGCAGCTACAAATTTTTACAAGCAGTCGCTGGTATCAAGATTTTATTTCCTCTGGTTTAGAAAGTCAAAGTTCCTGCTCCGTTTCTTTTCACCAAAACGTAGAGAGACAGTAAGAATTGGTAAGAGCAGCATTAATCTACCAGCTTTCACACACATTTTTAGCATGATGAAAACACCTTTAAAGTTTTAAAGAAATCCTTTTGGTCCAACTGATAGAGCTATACCTCACGTTTGGGTGAACGCTGCTTTATGTCAACCTCCTGCCATCAGGAAAAGAGCAGCATGGCATTCCCTGGGCTTCCCGAGACACGCTGGAAAGCAACTACGGTGAGGAGGGGGAGACTCAAGAGTAAAGAGCAGAAAATCCAGGGTTCTTCAGGCAGGCAGTTAGTGGGTTTTATGCCAGCCACAAGACTACTTAGCTGCCTTCAGCGGCTTTTAATACAAGCGACGCAGGGACCCAAACCAAATACAGATCTTTGAGAGAATGAGAGAATCATTACCCTACACCATCACTAAATCTGTTCTTGGGAAAAAAAAAAAAAAAAAAAAAAAAAAAGACAAACACCGCACACATGAGTGCTGCATTACCTGTATCACAGCACTGCCCAGCACCCGGGACCGTTCAGAGCTATATGGTGGTCCTCAACCTTTGCAAATGACACTGAGCAGAACATCATCACCCCCTCCATACCCCACCAGCCTCAATTTAACCCACTCCCTCCGCTTACCGGGGGT